CCATGCATCTATTTAAATATCACTACATTTTAGTTTGTGAGATAGGCTACTCATTTCATAAGTAAGAAATACTACACATGTTGATCTATCCGCAATAACAATATTTGTATCTCGTTATTATTTACAATCATGGATAATTTAAGATTCAGTTATATATAACTTTTGTCTCTCAATCAAAACTACATATGATTAATATGTTATCAAATTACTGCAGAGCTATCAAACCTTTCGTTTATTAGTAGATTTTGTTCAAACCTTTAGTTTGTGCCACCCACAGTTCCAAACATTTCAAAAATATGCACCAGGGGTCCAAATGGATGGAAATCGTATGTTTGACCATTAGTTGACCAATAAAATTGAATTTTGACCAATTTGTGATCAACTTAAAAGGGTAGAAAGGTAAATTTGCTATTTAATTCTATAATAAAACAAATAAACTAATATACCAAATAAAAATAAAAGAAACTACTATTCTTTTTCTTCTTCCCCCCACCTCACCCCGCCCTACCCCACCGCTGCTGCAATTTTCCCAATAAAAGTGGTTTCTTCTTCACCCTACCCATCCCCAACCTACCTTGTAGCAAAAATTCAGCCACCAACATCGGCGACAACCTCCGACACCACTACCTCCGGTTATCTTCTCTACCACAGTCTGAAACCCTTCATCCCACACCACCAAATCGCTGCCGTTTGGTCCATCAACCCTTTCACCTGATCTCCATTGCAAGCCCACTTTTATCCTTCTCTGTACCCTCAAGCACCCAGTCACCATGAGCAATAGCCAGCATCTTCAAGTAGCTGCACTCTAAATTTCATCTCAAATTTTCTTGAAATCAGTGATTGCCAATGTCTCCAGTCCATCATTCAAATTTTCTTGAAATCGGTGATTGCCAATGTCTCCAGTTCATCATCTCACCCCCTAAATGAAGAACCAGATCCAAAATGCTTTTGACCCCCTAAATGGAAGAATCAGTCTCCTACTTCTATCTGCTGTTTTCTGGCTTTCGTTCTTCCATTTCGATTATTACATTATTTGCAGTAGTTGTAGGGAACCCAGAATACAGGATCTTAGGATCCTATCAAAAACCAGGACTAGGCAGCTAAAAAACAACTTTACAAGGTTGCCGTGGCCAAATCTATGTCTTAGAAACCCAAACTCCTGAATTACTCGAAGTATCTATTGAATACGACCCGAAATACCCTATTTTATAGAGGATAGAGATGAAACTCGTTTCGAATACAAAGATAACTTTCTAAAGACACGACGCATTCGCACCGCACCATAGGAGAAAACTCAAAAGCAGAAGCATCTCGATCTGGACCTTCCGACGGCCGGAAGTAGCAAGTTTGGTTTGGGGTAGGTGGAGTGAGGGTGGGTAAGATGAGAAAGACGGTGATTTTTAATTTTTTTTTCTTTTCTCTTTTTTATTTTATTTATAGTTTTTCTAATTATTTTATGTATATAATAACAAATTTACCTTTCTGCCCTTTTAAGTTGATAAAATATTAGTCAAAATTCAATTTTATTGGTCAACTAACAGTCAAACGGATGGTTTTCATCAATTTGGACCCCCGGTGCATATTTTTAAAATGCTTGGGACTGTGGGTGGCACAAACTAAAAATTTGGGCAAAGTCTGTTAATAAACGAAAGATTTGATACCTCGACTGCAATTTTCCCTTATTTTAACATGTTGATTGTTAATTTGTGAAATGTCAAGGCTAATTGTAGGTTAATAAATCTAATTAATAAGTATGGATTTTTATTTACTTTGAATTAGTAATATGAAAAGTAAAAAAAAAAAAAAAATTATTGTTGTTATAGTATTTTATTTTTCAAGAGTGTATTTATCTAATAATTTTTCGTATTCGATTCAATCTCGATTGAAAATTTTACTTTTTGGACCGATGTTCGGATCAATTCTCAAAATATTGCACAATACATAGTGGTCCATACGGGGTTTGGGGGGGGGGGGGGGTGTTAAAAATTCTTTTGATTACCAATGGCAATACCTATATAGTATTTTATTTTTCAAGAGTGTATTTATCTAATAATTTTTCGTATTCGATTCAATCTCGATTGAAAATTTTACTTTTTGGACCGATGTTCGGATCAATTCTCAAAATATTGCACAATACATAGTGGTCCATACGGGGTTTGGGGGGGGGGGGGTTGTTAATAATGCTTTTGATTACCAATGGCAATACCTAGTGGATTGACATTATTATATTTCTAGTTTCATGCTATGAACCTTAAACTTTCGTTTTGTGACGTGGTCGTAATGATTAAGCGCTGAACGCAATCACGCTCAAAATAGAAGTCCCCACCCACTTAAACAACATCAATTGGTCACCAATCCATACATCGATATTTTGTAGGCTTTTCAATCAATAAGTAGTTTATTTGAGCTTCAACGAACAATTTACAAATTTGAAACTTTTAAGTCTTGTACGATAATTAACTTAACAAGAAATTACTGTTTTAATTAAGAGTAAATTAGACTCATTACTCTAAAAAAAATATAAAATTAGATTTATACTCTAAAATGATTATAACCGTAATTAATACGTTTATAGACCCGAAACTAATCATCCAAACTATCACTGGTTCCTCAGCGTAATTACAAACAACAAGTGTTTGTCACTTTTTTTAGTATTAGTCACCTTTTTTTAATTTCGTCACTTTTTGAATGTTTGTCGCTTCTTCTTCTTTTTTTTTTTTGTCAATTTTTGAGTTTTTCACTTTTTTTTTTGTTTTTGTCTTTTGTCCCCTTTTTTTAAATTTGCGTAATTTTTTTTTAAAAATTTATCACTCTTTTCAAATTTCTGTCACTTTTTTAGTAATTGTCACTTTTTTTGAATCTGTGTAACATTTTCTAATTTACGTCACTTTTTTGAATTTTTGTTGCTTTTTTTAGTAATTGTCACTTTTTTTTTTTTGAATTTTATCATTTTTTTATTTAATATTTGTCACTCTTATCAATTGCCTTTTTGAAATTTCTATCATTTTTTATTATTGAAAAACGTCTTTTTTTTAATAAAAGTGACATTCTATATAATTTTTTACTAACAAAGTGATACTAAACTTTTAAAAGTGACATTGTGTCACTTTTTATTAAAAAAAAAAAAGTGATACTATTTAATTTTATATAGTATTTTTTACTTTCAAAAAAATTTTCATAAGATTTTTGAAAAGACATATAATTATAAGGGTATTTTTGTAAGTTACCCTTTAATTAATGTTAAATGTATTTTTTATAAAATAACTATAACAGCGCAGATCGTAAGAGTTCAAATAAGGGGATGGTGGGAGGGATTCGGTTACCTATTTCTTTGACTCCAACAAAAATTAATCAAAAGGAATTCTTAATACTTTATTGAAGGGGAGATGTAAGCTAACACTATATTTTGGCTGAGTGGTAAATTTCATTTCTATTGGTCACTAAACTTTCAGCAAAATTTGATTTGAATCATTAATTTTTAATTTATCGCTTGTCATATTTCTTCAACTATTCTCCCTCATTCTAATAGAAATTACTTTGTTGGCAGTTATTAGTCTTGCACGCTACGTGAAACCCCATATTAAAGGTTTTTAATGCTTATTTTAATTTTTTTTATCACTTTTTTTATGACGTCGTGTAGTAATAAATTATCATATCACACAAAAATTACACGAAATGTCTATGATAATATTGCTGTCAATTAAGTTATTTTAATCAATTTAGAAAATGGGATGTAATGAACGAGGTGAAATTTTAATTGAACTTCAATTTATATTGAAATTCAAGTATCTGATTGAATCAAATTAATGTTAAATATACAAGTAAAATTTTGCTAAACGTTCAATAACTAAAAATAAAATTCAACATTTAAAAAATCTAAATTAAGAGTTTGTTTGTTTCCATTTTTATAGTAAGAATGTATTTTGGAATATAAATTGATGGAGAAAGTGTGGTTAAAAAATAAGGAAAAGTTTTGAATTTCCTAGTAATATTATTTTATTGAAAAATAAGTAATTGAAAAAAGAGAGAAACATATATTTTGAGAAAAATAGATATCAAACAAAGGCTAAGGGGTTTGTTGGATGATGTCACAAATGATACTATCTAAAGAAGAAGCTAAACAAGCTTCTTTTAAGCTTAGTTTAATAAATTTGGACCATGCTACACAAATATAATTATTGACATGCGGGGTGACCGAATACTCATATATTGGGGGTCGGACATTATTTTATTCACGCGGAGTCCACGTTTCATGTGAGAGTCGATCATCAAAATTTGGGCACTTTGGAATTTTCCAATAAATTTTCCACATGCGGTGAATATTTTTTTTCAAACACTTTCATGACAATGTGTGATGGTAACCAACAAAGTGATTATTCGAAAGATCTATTATAGTATCGTAGTCAACTAAGTAACGACAAATTAAATTTACCCTCGAAGAAATCAAGATACAACCCTACGAAAAAAATACCCACAAAATGGAGGGAAAGAATGTCAACTCAATAAAAAAAAAAAAAAAAAAAAAAAAACCAAAAAAAAAAAAAAAAAAAAAAAAAAAAAAAAAAAAAAAAAAAAAAAAAAAAAAAAAAAAAAAAAAAAAAAAAAAAAAAAATT